AAAAAAACTCATCCAGCCAAAAGACATAAGATAAAATATGTTTACACCTAACAACTCGGGTTCTTCAAGACAAGATGATGACACCCAAAGTAGCCATAGAGTCCTCAAGGGAAAGTCAAAGCTACTCACTGAGCACAGAGGTAGGAACTCCATTCAGAGCAATGAGTAGCATTCATTCTGCAAAGGATCAGAAGAGCGACCACATTTGGGAACATAAATGAGGACACTTTGGTACTTAAAGTTAATTGAGCAATTACTGATGCTAAGATGGAAATATTTTTGAAAATACTAAAAGAACAGATGATTTAAAAGGCATATCCCAGCACAATCGGATACAGGACAGAGACATTGGGAGGGAGCAACACATAGTAGTCAAAGATCAGCTAATACAGATCATGCAAAACAATGGGAAAGCAGCTCCAGATCAGAACCAAAAACTATTCTTAAAGCTAGCAAGGGGTTTTCACCAGCTTCCTAATGAGAAGGAACTGAAAAATTAATATCAGAAAACCTCTGAACATCACTTACAGTGATAGTAATAGTTCACAATAGTATTCTATCCCTAAGGTGTCAAGAAGTTGAACTCATTTCTTCGAAATTTTTCAGTTCAAATGGACTTCATGAAAATAAGGGCCAGGGATCTCCCCAGCATATCTCATTACTAATTTAAGGCTTGATCAATTTGATCCTGATCCCAAGCATCAAATATTTATTGTATTGAATCTCTTAGGATAATTTTTTTTTTCCTGAGAGGAACTTAAGAAAGAAGACAAGTTAAAAAATTATTAAACTTAATGTTCACAAGGGCAGGAATTATAACATTCTGTCTACCACTAATATAGATTTCTGAACTTTAGAGACTCAATTAGATGTTGAGTGAATGAACAAATGCTTGTGATATATTATTTATATTTTATTCTATGTATGTATTCTAGGTATGAATTCAATCACTCCTAATATAATAACTTCATATAGCTCTCAATAAAAACTCTTCTCTAAATAATTGTCTTTAATATATGTCTGGGTGGAAATTGCACAACTACTATTATCATGATATATGTCTAGAATGAGTAAAACTGAGTAAGCAGGGATCATTTATAACAACTTTTTCTCTGGTTATTCAATATTACATATATACACACATGCATATGTGCAAGTGTACGCACACACACATACATACCTGCAGCTTTTTGTCTTATCCATGATGTAAGCTGTATGGAATTTTCCATTTCAAAAAACAATGCCCACAAATGCTGAAGGCTTTGGTCTGAGAGTGCATTTATCAAGTCCCTAAAGATTACATTAAAAATGTAGACTCTCTGACTTGGATCCAAATTGAATTCTTTCCATATTCATAGTCAAGTGATAATGCTAAGAAACTGCACAGCCTGGGCAACTTAGCAAACCTGTCTAAAAATTTTTTTGTAAAAGGGGGACTACAGATGTAGCTCAGAGAAGCTCTCTTGTGATGCAAATCCTAGTAACTCTTTTGGAAATTGGCTGCAGCACAGTTTACATACATGTTATATTGTCCACACATAACACAACTGCACATATTATACATTACATGCAATCACATACACTGCATACAATTAATTGTACATATAAAATTATACATGCTATAAATCCATGTCTTTTATTATAGTTATAAAATTTGAACTTTGTGTTTATATGTTGTGTACATATACATATGATCATTTGCATAAATTTTTACTTGAATTTGAAGATAAGTTAGTAAAAGTCTTAAATTGGGTCACTATTCTAAAATGTTTTGGTTACACAGAGCTATGGTTTTAAAATAAATATTTTATTTTTGTGATTAACTTTCAATATTTGTGTTTTAATATATATGCATATATATACATATGTATATATAACATATATTTCATGAATTATATATAATGGACATGAAATATACATGTTACATATATTATAGGACCTAAGTATAGCTTTGACAATGTATAATACATATGTAGCAAAGTGCAAAAATACATTTATGTATCACTTAAATATATAGCGCATTATAAATCTTAAAGACTATTGAGATATTATAACTTAAAAATTGGGGAAATGAGACATTTCCACCATACTTTATAAGAAAGGAAGTAGAATTAAAGTCTTATAATAGTCAACATCCATTTGAAGTGTATCTAAGGATGGAACACTAAGAGAAAATTATTTTAAAATGTGTGCCTGTTAAAAATACAGAACTCCGCTATAATTTTAAAGTTTATCTCCACCACTTACTAAACTTTAAGTCTGGGACGAATCCTTTAAAGTCCCTGGGCCTCTGTTTTCTCATCTATGCAACAGGTGCAAAAGTATTCCTGACCATACTAGGATGAGATAGGATGCCATTCCGAAATAACCCCCAAAACCTAGTGATTTACACAACAAATATTACTTATCACTCTTATAACGCTTTCCACAGGTTCGCAGATTCTCCGGGGCAGCTGAAATCTTTTTGCTGGCTCAATATTCCAGGCTGCTTTAATCTTAGGCCATTTTCATATCGACATCCTATCAGAGCAGAGAAAGATTGAAAGCAAAGAGACCCAAGCATTACTCCTACTTCTACCTTGTGTTAGATGAACATGTTGATTGATTTGATGTATGCAGAAAGGAAAATTAATATAAAGTAACACAATTTTTAAATATTATCATCCAATTTAGAACTGGAAACTTCTCTAAGAAGAATCCAACCAAATCATTCCATTTTCATTGCAAATCCAGTGCTTGCTAGGCAAGCATTCTTCCCCTGAACTACATCCCATCCACAAAATCCTTTATAACACAGCAACAAACACCCAGAAAAAAATAAATTTAAGAATTTTTGTTTAAGAAGCTGAGCATAGTGGTTCACGCCTGTAATTCCAGAATGCTTAGAGACTGAGGCAGGAAGATCACAGGTGAGAGCCCATCTTGGGTAACTGGGGACTTAGAAATACCCTGTCTCAAAACTTAAAAATAAAACATAAAAAGGGCTGGGGATGTAGCTCAGTGGAAACACACTGGGTTCGGTCCTCAATACCAAAAAATGTAAGTTATTTACCAAGAAATATCAGACTCTGAAGTCAAATTCAGATTTATATTCTCACTTCCTCTTGGCTGCAAATCTACTACCAATTTTTGCTAGTGTGCTAAATAAACATCCTTGCTCTTTTATAAACCCCTAGAGATCAAGCACCATCGTACTTAAGTGTTGCTTTCTAAATTTATATATAATAAGAAATCCAGAAACCGTTGCAATAATAGAGGAAATGTTCCCACACCTGAAATTGTATTGAGCAGCTATTACTAATTTCTATTCACTTTATTTTAATAATATTACACATACTTTCCAACCCAATTGAAAGCTCAAGATTAAATACCATGTTGAAGAATATTTTGAATGATTTTTATGACACAAAGAATAAGGTCTATGAGAAGAGATAAAACAGCATGTCTGAGAAATTTAGAAACGTTAAGAAAAATTAAGGTCTGTTTATCTTTGTGCTTTCTGAATCATTTTAAAGTTGCCCCCAGACTCAGATTCTGACTCACGATGCCGCAAGGGTACATTTCTACCGGTAGGGGGAGCAAGAGGACTAAACTAACGGCCATATGTGGGTTTGTTTCCATTTTGCTGATTGAAAGGAAAAATCAACTATCAAGACAGACGAACTGCCTGCTATATTTATTGGAGGGTGTGCCTGGCAATGACTAATACAATCATTTTCCACTCTAATAGGTTCAGATTTAAAATCTAACCACATATTTCAAACATTAAAGGCATGATCACAGTTCAATTACCACTTTCCTTCATTTAAATCATTACCATACCAACTTCCCACTCTTCCTCCTCTTGTTTCCATTCAAACTCTCCAGCTCTCAAGGAGGACCAGAAATGCAGCCATCATGTCATTAGGCTGAGCAGAAGAGGGATGTCCCCCTAAAGCATCCTGAGAAACAAATGCCCACCGGAACTAAGGTTGTCAGCTTCCTCTTCGCAAAGCCATTCATCCTGAGAAAACGATAGTTCAGAGTTGCAAGCACTGCCTACAACACCCCCAAATGGTTTGGTTTAAATTTTTTTGGTTAAGGTAACCTTCCTTTTTGGACCTTCTGTGTATAATGTCGCCTGCCCTCATAAACAACTAGAAGTAGCATTTATTGGAATGACAGCTGCTTACTTGATTATGAGAGAAAATAGTCTAAAGCTGGTATGACTCTTCCAAAGATTCTGCATAATCTTGCTTCATTAATTGAGGACTATATAGCATTCTTAGAATTTTAACTTTAATTGATGTGTGATATTTGTACATATTTATGGGGTACACTATCATTCATCATGTGTATAAAATGGAATAATGAGCAAACCAGGGTAATTAGCATGTTGACTCCTCGAATGTTTATTATTTTGGTGTTTGGAACCTTCAGATTCTTCTCTTGTGCTCATTTTGACTTATATACACTTGTTATAGACTATATTTACCCTGTTGCACTGTAGAACACTAAGAGTAGCTACTTCTAGCTAACTGTATCTTGACCCATTCACCAACCTCTATGCCCTGCCGCTGCCCTTTCTAGCCTCTATTAAATACTATTCTACTCTCCTTCTACTTTTTTAGCATCCACAAATGAGAATATATGGTTTTAGCTTTTCTGTACAATGTTTTATGAAAAGAAACCTGGTACATCTCATTCTTATAAATGTCATTGAAGGTATTTTTCCTTCAGTGGATTATGAAGCATGGAAGTTCAGGTAAGAATAAAAGGAGCCTTCAGTTTGGGGAATAACTTGGACTTCTCCGAGGTGATATTCATAGCTCACATCAAGCCTGAACAAATATCTGGACTCGCTTTGTATGTCAAAACCAAAGGGAAAGGCTTAGTGAGAACAGTTTCTTGCTTAGAAAGAGGCAGGCTGATGAGATATACATCATTTTGTTCATGCACTCAACTCCCCTCCCTTTTCTCCGTTTCTCTTCTGCTTGGAGCTGACTCCTCCTTCCTGCAGCTCTGAGGATCACAGGCTGACTGAAGAGCACAAAGGTTGGGATGGAAGCCTTGCTCTCAGGCTCCCTCTGACTGTCTCTCTCTCTCTCTCTCTCTCTCTCTCTCTCTCTCTCTCTCTCCTCTCTCTCTCTCTCTCCCCCCCCTTCCTCGCTCTCCCTTTCCCTCTCCCTCTCTCCTTTTTCCTCTCTGCCATAACAGCTGAAACCTACCTGATAATCTCTCTGCCTTTGAATCTAGCAGCTCTGGAAACAAATGCATTTTATTGCTCTTAGAAGTGAATAGAGTTTGATTAAAACAAGCTGTGAGCTGCTTTACTCCAAGAATCCAGACACCATTGCTTTTTAATCTTCCAGAGGAGCTTTTTCTTTCTTGCCTGAAATTTCTTGCCTGAAATCTTGCCTCCTTGGTGAAAGGGAGTTTTTGGCTTGTTTTTCATTGGAATGTTGAAAACTTTCATTGATGCCTGAAATGGAACCCAATTTTTAAATATGGGCTGAGTCTAAAGGAAACATCCCTGACGTTTTCTGCAGGATTGACCAGAGAAATATCTAGAGAGAAATTTGGTAGGAGAGATGACATCTGTTTGCAGCAGCCATGCTTTCTTTTGAGAAAATCATCAGACTCACTAAGAAAGGAAAGTAAATATTGGTAAAGGACCATGTCTTTCAGTAACTTATTAACAAATGGCTCTAGCCTGCGGAAAGAAAATCAAAATTCTACGGACCTCTCCAATTCGCCAGGAACTCTGAATATCTATCTTTTTTGCTTGACATGTTTGATGACTCTTGCAGCTCTGACAGGCAGCATTTTTTCACTACTTTCCCTGCTGAAAATGCAGAACAAAACTGTCGTGTCCATGCTTGTGGCTTCCTGGTCTGTGGATGATCTCGTGAGCGTCCTGTCTGTGACTATCTTCATGTTTTTGCAGTGGCCAAAGGAGGTCCCTGGCTACTTCCAGTCTCTGTGCACAACCTCTGCCTTACTGTACTTATTCCAAGGCCTCTCGAGCAACTTGAAGGCGACTCTGCTAGTCTCCTATAACTTTTACACGATGCACACGGCTGTGGGGCGTCAGGCAGCGTCCAAAAGCTCCGGTCAGGTTCTCGGAGCGGCGCTGACGGTGTGGGCGGCCAGCCTGGGGCTCTCCGCGCTCCCGCTTTGCGGCTGGGGCGCCTTCGTGCGCTCGGCCAGCGGCCAGCCTGGGGCTCTCCGCGCTCCCGCTTTGCGGCTGGGGCGCCTTCGTGCGCACGCCCTGGGGCTGTCTGGCCGACTGCTCCAGCTCCTACGTGCTGCTCCTCTTCGCCGTGTACGCTTCGGCCTTCGGACTCCTCGCTGGCCTCTCGGTCCCGCTCACTCAACAGTTGCTGTGCTCCGAGGAGCCGCGAAGACTCCACGCCTACTACCAGGAGGTTTCCCGCAGAGCCTCCACTCCCGTGGCCGTGGGCCGTGGGTTTGGACCCGAGCCTCCGGCCGCCGCCGGGACCCGAGCCTGCAGGCCTGGACACCCGGGATCTCTGCACGGCCCCAGGGGCTTCACCAGAAGCACAGCGCAGAAGCGCTTCGCCTTGATCCTGGCGCTGACAAAAGTCATTCTTTGGCAGCCCTTGATGGTAAAAGTGCAGTTGCTCCTAACGCGAGGGTGTGCCGTGGGTTTGGACCCGAGCCTCCGGCCGCCGCCGGGACCCGAGCCTGCAGGCCTGGACACCCGGGATCTCTGCACGGCCCCAGGGGCTTCACCAGAAGCACAGCGCAGAAGCGCTTCGCCTTGATCCTGGCGCTGACAAAAGTCATTCTTTGGCAGCCCTTGATGGTAAAAGTGCAGTTGCTCCTAACGCGAGGGTGTGTGTGCCGGGCTGTGCGAGTGTGTGGAGGCAGCGCGGTTGGAGAAGGCGTCGGCCCGAGACGCGCCTCTAGGTCCGCTTCTCGCTTCCTCTCGCTCGGGGGCCGCGACACACTTTGGAGGAAGGCAGCTCCCCGGGCTGGGCTAGTCAGCCCGGGAGCCTTTGCCACTGAGCACCTCTTTCACAATCGGGGGTCAGAGGAGCTCTGTCGGTCGCGAGCCGCTTAAATTTTCTGTCGTGGCCAAGAGTGTTCTCGTCTCTCGCGGCAAAATCTGGGAATATTCAGAAAAGGAGCGAGGAAGTCAAAGGCAGGTTTTTCCATTCGCGCTTTGTCGTCCTTTCCCGTCTCCTGGGGACGCCGCCCACTCCCGGCAGGGAGAGGAGGAGAGGTGTGATCCCAACGCGGGCAGCAGAGCCCGCTCCGAGGGGGCCGCGACAGGCGCGCCTAGGTGCGGATGGGGGGTCCGGCGGTGGCGCAGACCCTTTGGAGACCCAGCTACCGGTCCCCTGCGCCCCTGCCCGATTCCCTGGGTAGCGACTTGGAGTTGTACTTCGCGCCTCCCCGGTGGCGATTTTAATTAGCAGCGGGTGCAGACCCGGGACTCGAGAGCAGAAGGCGCCGGTGCCTCCGGGATCTGCCTAGGTGGGTGCCTCCCACGGGTCCGAGAGCCCGGCCCTAAAATCCGCAGCGCCAGCCTTAGGAGCGAAGCTCTGGCCCTCGGTCGGAAAAGGGGACGGTAGAAGGGGACGGGCCTGTGCGCTTGCGGGCAAGGCTTGGAAAGCGGAGACTGGGACTGTGGGCTAGTTCTGAAGTTCTCTCACCTTTCCAGATCCACATGGTGGTCAAGCACGTGGCTGGGGTTCAGTGCCTGCCCTTTGAGACGCTCGGCTTTCTCCTAACCCTGCTGGCCTCCACCGTGACCCCGGTGTTCGTCCTGTCTAAACGCTGGACTCACTTGCCCTGTGGCTGCATCATCAACTGCAGGCAGGACGCTTACCCAGTGGCATCTGGGGGGAAAAAAAGTAAGTGTGGTGATTGTGAGCCATGCACGCGCCGTCAAAGACAGAGAGGGGTCTCCGGGGAAAGCGGCCTGGGTAGAGGAGGACGAGTACAAAGGCAAATCCAAATGGTGAATACCGGTGAAGGATGAATGACGCAAAACGGTCCTTAGAGCGGTGTGGGAGTGGGCTTTAAAAGAGTGGGGCTTTGAATCACTCCAAGAGGTATTTGCGTACTGGTGACTGTTTCAGGTAGGAAAGACACGAAGTCATTCGGTGCAACATGATGCACACAGAGGTCATAGTATATTCTATCTAACATAGCTGTTAGACCAGAGTGAAAAATAAATGCCCCCTCCAAGTCTGTGGAAACTGATCTTGATGCAAGCCTGCTGCTAAAAAGAGATTCTCAACATTCTGAAAGGAATTAAAAACATACCGTTATAACTCATTATTACCCAATGGAACAATGAAAAAAGCAGTTTCATTATTTTACTGCTTGTTTTCTTTGAGGATTCTGGAAAGTTTTCAGAGTAATCAGAGCAACTACAAATAGTCCCTAAATAATTTTTCTCAAAACCCCTCAATTTCAAAGGATAGAAGGTGTAGTCTTGTATATGCACATATGAATTTAATCATGAGAGATATATCCATCTGTACTGCACAATATATACTGAGGAATTCACCAAAAGTGGCACTGTGAAACGGGCCTAATTACAAAACTACTATGTACTTGTTTCCACATTCCACAGAAAAAGCTGAGGAGTCAGGAGCATATTGGAAAAGGGTACTATGTTGTTATTCCAGACAAAAGACAGGACGTTCTACCATCTAATAAATATAAGGATGCATTAGTGTATGTTGAATTAATTGTCTCACTGATTGTCCTTTGCTCAGAATAAGCAAATATATTAGACTTTAACAGAAAGAAAGGTTAAATTAAAACAATTCATCTCAGACTATTTTAAGGTTGTAAAAACTGGAGGGTTTCCAAGTATGTTCCACTGCCAATTCCACAACAGGACTATTTTTATAGATATTAGTCACAGACTGGTCTTTTTCATGTATTGATAACGTTTAAAACTTAAAATATCTAGGGACTTTTCAATTTAATACACATTTATTTTTAAGAATGTCATAAAATTCTATTGTAAATAGATGCTTAATTCATTTGTCTTTAGAGTAATGGTAGAACTTATAATAATGGTGTTCTCTGATAAATATTCAGAGGAATAACTCAGAAAAAATTAATAATAAAAGCACTTATAAAAATCATGTAGCAATAAGATATTATTTACAAGCTTTCTCCAGCAGTCTAATAAATGCTAATATTTTGCTACTAAACTAATGAATTATCCTTGTCTTAAAACTTTCAAGATTACTGAGAAGATAATAGTTTCTGTGCTGGCAAAAATGACAAGTATTAGCTGAGTGTTTCAGGACAGGCATTTTCAGAAACTGAGGCATGCCCATATCAGAACATAAAACAAAGCAAAGCGATGATCTAGCATTCCTAGTAAATCGTGTGTCATCTGCACTGAACAAGACAGAAGAGCGTACAATCAAGCTAACCAAACTGTCACTCATATCCTTGAAATTAAAAAGTACCTTTTAAGGGATGGGGATTTAGGTCAGTGGTGCCACCACCTGCCTCAAAACACAAGGACCTGAGTTCTATCCCTGGTACAAACAATATATATATATACAATCAAATTATCATTATTCTGCACTGCTTTTATTTTTATTTGCTTTAAAATTCCAGAAGAAGACTTGAAATATGGACGTTTGTTTTAAAAGATGTAGCTCCTTAAAAATACAACACTGTGAGTGATACTAGTTTAAGATGCTTATAGTTTAAATGTCTCTAGTCCCCGTTGCAATCCAAGTATGCCACAGGGAAATTCTAAGAGTAAAATGGCAGTTTTACTGTATGATGAGCCCCATAAATGCCCTGTTGCTAGGACGGCACAACAGAATTCTGAGGTCCTACAGGTACCCTGTCAGGTAACGTTTGATCAGCCCCACAGTTTTCATTCTTCAGGGGTTGTATGATTAAACTTTTTCTCCTCAACAAACCAATGTACCCCTCTCTTTTACTCTTACCAGTGAACTCCAGAAGCAAGGAAGGGAAAATATCTATTGTTGGTTATATCTGCCATAGGTTCAACTTGAGGAATAAATACATATATTTCTATATTTCAGTTTCAGTGAGTGAGAGTGAGGGACACGCAGCCAGAAATTGAATGTCAGTGCCAAAAAGTAACTTACAGCGATAAGCATCTCTTATGTTTCTAACAATAATATGCATTAGCAGTATCTCATAGCAGGTGTTTTAAATTTTTTTTTACATTTTTATTGGAGTACATTTGCAGTACATAATTATTACACTCATTACGGGCGGTTGGTATAGACACATAATATGTCTCAATTCTTTTTACTTTCACTTCCCCTCTTCTCCTCTCCTCTCCCTCCATATTTTGGTTCTCTTCCCACTTAAGTGATTTTTAACACAGAAGTCTCAGACAGTAGATATATGGGATGGATAAGGCTTTCAAACTCATTTGTTTACCTGAGAAGCTATTTTCTTTTTGTAATTAAACCAAGAGCTAACACTCAAACATATCACAGGAAAATCAAATTTTTAGCTTTTCTCTATTCGAAAAATCACAGTATCTGCTAAGTGACATCACTGTGAAAATACTCACTTTTATAGTATGATGCAACTATGTCTAAAATTGTAATTTCCAAGACATGATTAAACACAAAAGACTAGTGGGCCAGAGGTTTAACTCAGGGGTTCTGCCGCCTGCCTCCCAAGAGCAAAGACCTGAGTTCGATCCTCTGTGCCAAAAAAAAAAAAGACTAGAGTTAATTCATGTTTTATCTAAGGCTGGGAATAGTGAAGCTCTTGTTTTGCATAACAAATACAACATTATTTTTCAGAAGTGTCGTATAGATTTCAAAGGGTACTAGACTTTAAGTTTCTTGCAAGTGATTAGTAAATGAAAGATCTCTACAGAAGTTTTAAATTCAATTAAGTTATGGGTTGTTTGCTTCATGAGCATAAAAGTAAAACTCAGAAACTCCAATTCCTTCAAGGTCTTCTTCCTATAAATAATTCAGATTTTATATATTTTTTCTGTATAAATAATTTCCTCTACTATCACTAAGTGATTCTCCCTATCATGACAAACACAATTCCTGCATGTTGCTTTTTTCTTTCAGTCACTCATTCATTGTGTAAATACTTATTCCAGGAATGGTCACTATGTATCTGACACTGAGCTGCATGTTCAATAAGGAACAAAAATTCGCAGCTCATGACCTTTGAGCTGAATCTCTTGTTTTTCTAAACATACATGAATTTAGCTTAACATGTGGTTTTTAAACAAGTGTTAATAGTTACTTTTAACAAATCTTACTTATGGGCCAAAATTTGAAGATCAGAATATTTTCTATCAAAAATCTATACATCTGTTTTCTCTTTAAAAAACTCAGAATAGCTGACAAAACAGGCTCTGTCCTCATCCCCACCACAATTGGCTCGAGTCAAGGAAACTGCTTTAGAGACAGGAGAGATATTAAAGGCTAGTAACGTACTAGTATTTGCCTTTGTTACTTGTTAGTGTTACTTAATTGGCCCCTATTGACATTTGAGTTTTTCTGCATTTTGTTAATAAGAATTTTAATAAACAGAGTCCTCTAGAATGGCAGTTCATGCCTATAGTCTCAGGTACTGGAAGGCTAGGCAAGGGGATTGAATGTTTGAGGACATCCTGAGTAACTTAATGAGATCCTGCCTCCAACCTAAATTTTTTTAAAGGACTGGTGATGGAGCTCAGTGAGAGAGCACTTCCTTAGCATTCGTAAGGTTGTGGGTTCAATCCCTAGTACTTGCAAAACAGTTTTTTAATGTCTGTGTCTCAAGGAACTTAAAGATGATCACTCTTCGCACTGATTACATTTACTTCAGTTACTTTTTTTTTTCTTTTTATTGAGTTTATTGGTACATTCTAGGTATACAGTTCAGTTACATTCATTACTGGGATCTTGTACCTTTACATGAGCTGCAGTTACTTTTAAACTGTTATTTTTAACATATTTTTGTAGGGTTAATGCATAAACAGATACAATCAAAATAGTAGTCAAAATTTTTCAGTTCCGTGATATTATTAGAACCTATCATATCCATTAGCTACTTTGATCAGAATTTACCTTTTAGTATTTCAGAAAGTAATTTAATAAAAGTTTCTCTTGCTTATATTTTATAATTGATGTATTTCTGACCTAAAAATAATATGTCAGGGTCATTCTGCTTCTATAACAAATTTCTTTCCTGAGTTTCATTACCAGTAAAGCAATTTCATAGAAAGGCTAATTACTCAAATTCTAGTATTAGCTTAAATTTCAAATCGTTTTACCAGATAGGTGATCCCAGTTTATCAGCTTCAGTTTTCTCAAATGTGTGTGTGTGTGTGTGTGTGTGTGTGTGTGTGTGTGTGTGTGTGTGTGTGTGTGTGTGTGTGTGTGTGTGTGTTTGTTTTTTTGGGGGGGGGTTTTTTGTACCAGGCATTGAACTCAGGACCTTGTACTTGTGAGGCAGGTGGTGGAACCACTGAGCTAAATCCCCAGAAATTTTCTCAGTTATGAATAGGACCAATAAACTTTTTAATCAAATAGGATTATTGGTGTGTTAAATGACATTTGCATAACTTAGCCTTAGAATATTTATCACATCATATACTTTGTCACAATCCTACTCTGTTTTTGTAGCCTCTCTCTGACTGCCTCTTGGGCCTTGTAACATGAAGGTATATTCTCCACTAATATTCTGTGCACTTTTTTAAAAATGTGACTCATTTATACTTCTTATATTTCAGAGTTATAATATACAAGTAATAAAATATATAGTCACAGACTTCAGCTTTATCAACTATTAATCATAAAATAAAAAATCCATGACAGTTTTATTTTCTTAATGGTCTTGAATTGCCAATCTGTCAATGTACATCTTTTTTGGAGGAAAGGGAACCCATCCATAATAAAACCATCCTTCTAGTTTCTTCACTTTTCACATTCTCAAACTAGGTTAAAAATTCTAATTTAATTTTACCAGACTATATAACTAGGAAATACAACTACAAATATAAATAAGACAGTGTATAAAATATCATCATCTGTTCCTTCTTTTCCACTTTCTTTGAATAGAAATTTTTCTTGTATTCTGCCTCAAACAACAATGCATTACACTGATAAATTATATTTTTCAGTCAACCAAATTGGTTTGTAAATCTTCAGTTCCAGGAACATTTCAGCCTTAATAGAGTCAGCATATGAATAACTAGGATGTGTTGTAAAGTGAATTAAATTTTGTGTATTATTCCCATAGAAACTTTACAGCTTTTCATAATATATTTTTACCAAAGATAGTTAATGTCTGACTATAAAATACATAACTATCCAAACAAAAAATATCTTTGAAAAAAAGCTAGGTTTTAAAAGATAAAAACTAAAACATTAAAATGCATTTAATTTTTCACCTTGCTCTAACTTCATTCTTAATACATAAACATTGATATTGAATGGCGTTCACACAAAAAATTATGTCATTTTCTACCATATTCTTATTTGTTATTCTAAGATTTTGCAACATATTCACCAATTGTAGTATACCTAGAACACCAGCATATTTAACATAACAAGTTTCCTGCTAACATCACCTTGTAATTAATCACCTTTCTAAAATGTTCCAGTTTAAAAAGATATACTCATTCGTGTTTTATAAATTTATTCCAAATTCATTTGTATGAAATGCTCATTTTATTTTGGAAAAGTTTAAAATTGTATAGCAACATATTATAATATTTAATGTATGGGTTTATAAACATGTAAGCATCAGAAGAAGTATAATTGAAAGTGTAATATCTGTTGGTGCCATTCTAATATTCAGGCTACTTACTAATTAATTGTTAGCAAAGTAAAATTCATAAACAATATCCCAAGACAGGTATAGAAATGGTGGAATAAAAAAATCTAAAACTGAATATATTTGAACTTTCTAACTGGTAGTTTAGTTGTGGTGGTACATGGCTATAATTCCAGCACTGTGGAAACTGAGGCAGGAGGATTGCTGTGACTTCAAGGCCAGCATGGGCTCCATAGTGAATTTAAGGTCAGCCTCAATTGCATAGCAGGATCCTGTCTCAACAAAATTTTAAAAAATTAAAAAATAAAGACTGAAAAAGTCCTGCTGGTTGTATGTATTTCAAGCCCTTCATTGTGCAACTGAGAAAAATTCGGTCCAGACAGAGTGATGATTTGATTTTGTGAGGAATGGTACTTCTATATAATTGACAAGAAGTAATTTAAGATGGTTTTTAACTCATAATGCTTAATTTGAATGTACCTCCTATTTATATTCACTATGTATATGTTATTGTTGTTTATATCTGCCTTACTAATCATGCAATTATGTTATTGCTTTCACTTAGCCAATAGGAAAGGCTTTGAATTCAATCTATCATTCCAACAAAGTTACGGAATTTATAAAATAGCACATGAAGATTACTATGATGATGATGAAAATTCCATATCCTATCACAACCTGATGAATTATGAGTGTGAAACTACGAAAGATTCCCAGAAAGACAACTGTGATATCTTCAATGCCATAAAAGTAGAAATCAGCACCATACCCACTGTGGACAGCTCCACACTAAAAGGCATTAACAAATGCACAAATACTGATGTTACAGAGGCTAAAGAAGATTCTGACAAAGAAAAGTGTGCATTTTCAGACAAAGCAAGAAGCAGTACTACTTATGAAGAAACCACCTTTTATGAAGGTCCAGAAAGAAGGCTATCTCATGAAGAGAATCAGAAACCAGACCTTTCAGATTGGGAATGGTGCAGGAGTAAATCAGAAAGAACCTCTCGTCAGGTAAAGTAAAAGTTGTTCTTGTGAACTAGAAGTGAAACTAAAGGGGCTGGGGATTTAGCTCAGTGATTCTGCCTCAAAAGCTCAAGGTCTCAAGTTTGATCCCTGGTACCAAAAAAAAAAAGTGAAACTAAATATGATAGACATTTAAAAATGCGCTTATTTCATTTAATCAAGGCTAAGAGTAATTTAGCTTTTCTGAGTTAATATCATTTCAAGGTGACTTTTGAAAGACTTAAAATTTTAAAATAATTTCATATTTTATTCAAAATGTATGCATTTTAGAATCAACAAATTTAAAAGAGTTACCCTCTTTCAAAGGGTAAGGCATTTTATTTTATTTATTTTTTTTCCTCATTGAGTTTATTGGTACATTTTAGGTATACAGTAGAGTTACATTCATCATTGGGATCTTGTACCTTTACATAAAAGATCTTGGTTCTCATTTTTCCCCATACTCCTGCCATCCTTTTCACCCCCTCCTCCCTTCCCTATTTACAAAAACTTTATTTCCATTTTTTCATTTTCTCATATTTTTTTCTTTTCCCTTATTACCTTTCCCCTACTCTTCCCAATTTCCCTAAACCTTTAGCCCTTTTCTTTCTATTTCACATTGTCAATTATACCATTAGGGTCTTATTTACAGTTATAGTTTTTCACACCAGAGAAACTATTCAGCATTTACATGTGTGACTTATTTATTTCACTTTCATATCCTCAATATGCATCCATTTTCCTATGAATGACTCATTGTAATTTAATCTTAAGAAATATGCTTAAATCCAGACTAGACTCTGACAACTCATGCTTCTGAGTTAAATTTAGTTAACTTGTACATTCTATTTGTTTCTACTTCAATCCCACAATATTTTACAAGTCTTCAAGAGAAGTTTTCCTTGTTATTTAAAAACAAACATGTACAAAACTAGCAGCGACAAGGGTTGCCCTTTCAGCTATAACTAGAGAGCCTGTCTGCCTATCTTACTATAGAACTAGTCCTTCCAGAACCTAGCAAGGAAAAATATATCAGAATACATTCAATGAGCCAAATATCCCTTTAAATGTGAAAAAATGCTATGTTAGTGTTTTTAAACAAAAGAATTCACATGAATCTTTTCTCTTTCACACCTAGATTCTAGCCTGCTAAGAATCATAAAGTGTCTTTTTCATTTTATTCAAATTAGAGTGTGATATTGATCAGAGACTGTTCTCCCAAACTTTGTCTGGTAATTAAGTTGTTCTTGATTTCTACACTATTGATTTACTAGAAAGAAGGAGAGGTTTTTTTTTTCTACATTATTTAATAGAAATCTGAGTCTATTTGTACCTCATCTCTGTAAAAAAAGTAATTCCAGAAATATTTTGCCAGGAAGAATAAATTCATTGATTAAAAATATGATTACAGGTCACCCGTATAAATACGAGCAGGATAATTTGAGAAATTTCCCCCCACTGGTTAAGTAAAACTAGTATTATCGTTCTGATATCATTATCTAAGACTTAAGTAGTAAAACAAATATATAAAACATTATTAGAAAAAATGATTTGGCATATAGTTTGGCCATTAGGACTCAAAAACAATCAGTAAATATTTGCTATTAATTGAATAATATAATGAAAACTGGAAGTCAAAGTGCACAATGTTCTATATTTTTAAAACAATGTTTCCTCAGCTAAGAGAGGAATTCTTATACTTTCTTTAACAATTTTACCCTAAATAATCTAAATCTTCTCATTTTCTTGCACTTAAAAATTTTTTTTGTTTTGTTTTGTTTTTGGTACCGGGGATTGAACTCGGGTCCTTGAGCTTGCAAGGCAGGCCACTGAACCACTGAGCTAAATCCCCGGCCCTAAAAATTAAATAATATT